AATTCTAGATTGATTAATCTTAGACTGTACTACTTGTAAATTCTACGTACTGTGTTTTGGTAGCTCTTCCTGATAAGAATCTTCAAATTCCTGCTCGAAATCTTTTCCGTAATATTTATATTGTTTGGGTTTCATTTCGTCAGAATTCGCATCGACTTCTTCGCGTCGTTTGTGTTTAATGCTTTCTTCTTTCTCTTCATCCTCTTCTTCATACGACTCATGCGATGATTTTGGGGAGTCAGTATATTCAGCATGGTATTCTGATGATGGGTCTTCTTTCTCTTCATCATCGTCCACTGAATCATCCTTATAGCTGGAATGTGGCTTATCTTCAAAGTCGTCGTCGTCGATTTGCGTTTTATACTTCCCAAACCTCTCGTCGTACTCTTTGAAGGGGTAAGATGTCGAAGGTTTAAAGTCGCTTTCTGTCGATGGCTCCTTAAAATACTTTCCTGGTTGACGCTCAGCATTATCATTTTCAGAATTGTGTTCATCTTCCTTATCCGGATTTTTATATCCTGTGGAAAATTTTTCTAATAAATGTTCATTCTTTATCTATTTTATTTTATATTACATTTTAGTTTAAAATTATTAAAGTATTTCTATATCTTGTTTTAAATCTTAGCTTAAATAAAAATTTTATTATTATAAGTCAATATATGTCACTTAACTAAAAATTTTCTTTTAATTGATAACGTGATTTATAAAACAGTACAAACTTTCATCCTCCCTATCATCATCCCTGTCATCATCAGATTGGGGTGTATGTGGTTCTGGATTTTTCTTATTAATAATCTCTGCATCGTTTAAAATACCCTCCGTTGACACGGAAGGATGGATAATGTTTTGCTGCACGTTAATAGGCTGCACATTACTACTATATTCCTGGCCAAAGTGCAATTGTGGTTGACTATAAAGGGACTCGTAACTGTCTTGCACTTTAGGAACATTATTTGGAACTGGGTAAACTTCTACGCTGGCGCCTTTATACTGCGGAAATTGCGGACTACTGTTAGCCGTCTGAATTGGCACAATTTGACCTTGAAAGCTCGACACAGGTGACAAAAATGGCGAAAAGTTTCTCGATTGAGAAGCCATGTTGAGCTTTGGCCTAGTTCCAAAGTTAAATGCCAAATCCGATTCGGTCGGATAGTTTGCACTTAGAAAGAACGGCTGACTCTCGGAGACGGGCAAAACTTCAGAGAAGTCCGCATTACTCTGAAATTGAATGATCGGGATTGAAATCTTCTTACCATTCACATTTACAGTAGCTTCATCTTTCTGCTTAGAGCTCTGCGTCATTTTATCCGACGACGGAGAAACACTTGATGTCGTTGGAAAGCTCAATGTGTATCCGTGTGCGTCTTTTGACAGAGGATAAATCGTTTTGTACACTGGCACTTGTACGATGGGAGACGAAGCACCGTTCTGCACGTCCTGGGAGATAAGCTTACTGATACTGGCATATGAAGGATATTCGAAGTCGGAGAAGCCCGAGAATTCAATAGATTTATCTTGATGGAACGCATTGGGCGAGTAAATGCCTTGCAGTTTCTGGACTGACTGCGATACAGTCGGTTTGGATGCATCTAACGGTTTCTCGGTGCTCGTTGCAGTCTTGTACAAATTGGAATTATTCAATATATTTAAATACGGAACAGGCGGACTATTCCGATAAGATTTAGTCTGATGAATAGGCAAGGGAACGTAAGAAGAAAGCGGCTGCTTTGGTACACTGCCGTATGCGTAAGAAGATTCTTGATTCGAATTGATGTAAGAAATCCTCTGTGGTTCCAATGCCTTGGCCCTTCTATAATTAGACAATGATCTCGTGGTAATATCCTGAGGCAACGAGATTTTCGGTGTAATTTCTCTGAATCGCTCCTGATTATTACTAACATCAGGACCGGAATTTGCGCGTTTTGATCTGATGGATGTTATTGATACAAAAGTGCCAGCTGAGGTTGCAATGTTTAAGGCGCCACATATCGCAGGAATATAGAAAATGTTTATAATCTGGAATATATTTAATGCATGCATTTTAAAAATCATATTATGCATTCAATATATAAATATTCTTATCATAAAAATATAAAAATATACATAACAATTTATTTAATTAATCTACGTATATCTCAAAAACAATAAAGTGTAAAATAATGTACATAAATTATGCAACGCACAATAATAAATAATGTAGAAAATATAGCATTAGAACCTTTTTCAACGCTTTTGATTTAATAATGAATCGAAAATAATCGATAATAATTAATCATAAATGTACGATAAATATCAATATTGTCACATAATTCAACGTAATAAAAATTTAAAATTTGTCACGAGTCATATTTATAAATAAGTGGCTATTATATTGTAATAATATTTTGATGCACATAAACATTCATTGTTTTAAAGTTATTAAGAAAATGGAGAAACGTACCATCATGATATTCGTGTAGTGAGTACAAGCAGATACCAAAGTTTGATACTAACTGGCTACGATCAACAATCTCTCATCTTTTATATTCGACGTTTACTGATGCGAAACAACAGAATAGGACTTTTCTAAACCTAATAAAAAGCGTATCAAGAAAAACCGAGTCAAATCACCGCTTCTCCCTGATCAGTGAAACCATAATCATAATCATAAGCATGCCATTGATCTACCTTTTTATTATTAACTCATATTTCTCTCTTTGTAATTTAATTGTTATCAAAAAATGTAATGCAACTATATTATAAAAATTGTAATTTAATGTGTAAATATATAATAAATAATTTTCTTTATTGTAAGTCTGAAATTTGTACAAACATAATTTTATATATATTACATTAAC